TGATATATTCTGCTTGAGTTTGGTATTTTACTCATCACCTCTTGCGAGGGGGAGGAGGGGAAAGCGTAAACAGAGGTGAGCTCTTTAAATCGCTGCGTGCTAATGAAAACATTTGCGTGTCTGATTTATATCCAATTCCTTTTTTAATTCTATTCTTTCCTTTACTATGTATGGCCTTTTCGAGAGTATGTGGAGTACTGTTACGTTTTGCATTGCCTTCAGATATATTTCTGTTTCTTCTCTTTTTATTTTCGAAAGCCTCACCTCCAGTCTATTATGGCGGGAAGGCGCTATTTATCAGAAGAAGAATACCCTCGTATGGTCAATGAACCATTTATTAACGCAGATGAGAGTGATGATTCATTTTCTAAAGCATTAGAAAGTGATACTTTTTCTAAGAGTTAGAAAGTGATACTTTTTCTAAGAGTTAGAAAGTGATACTTCTCCGTGCTTCGAGATTTACCACACTCAGTCTTCATTTTAAATTTTGTTATTTCTTACTGTAAATAGTCTTTATTGTGTTGTTTTATTAATTTTAAACTTTATTGATGAGTTTTATCAATTAGAAATAATTTAAATAGCGCTTCCGAAAATTATTTTACAAGATAAGCAATTTTGTAAGTATATTTTCATGCAAAATAAAGAAAAAAAAAACATTTTCAAGCGCTAATTTTAATATATATAAGAGCTCAAGTAATAATCTAATATGATACCAAAAATTACAATGCTAGAAGTGAAACTTTTTTTTTTTTTTTTTTAAATAAAATTAGGCTTAGCGATGCAAAACTTCTGTCCTGTACGGTGACTGCATTCGATTCCCTTCCATCGCACACGAGCATCTTAAATGAAGGTGCGCCTTCACGAAAAGGTTAAGAAGAAGATCATTAATTTGAGAAAACTCTTTGGCAGAATAAAATTTGAAAGCTCCTAGATGAGTCCTGCATGACACACTCGATTGAAGGCTTTCTCGAAATCGAAATAGCATGCAGCGACCCAGTTCTTTTTCTGGAACTCTTGTACTTTTCGTTCAATTAAGTTGATAATTTGGTGAGTGGTAGAATGTTCAGAAAGAAATCCAAATTGATTCGGGTCAATGAGATCTAATCTTCCCAGATGCTTCATCAGCCGGATGCTCAGAATTCTTTCAAAAACCTTTCCTATTACTGGGAGTAAGCTGATGGGCCTGTAGCTATTCACATCACGAGGGATTTTTCCTCGCTTTAGAAGGGTAATTACAAGGGAGTGTTTCCACTGCTGCGGGAAATGGGCAAGTCTGATACAAGCATTAAAAATGTTGCAGAGCAAAACAATACAATTTCTTGGGAGGGCTTGCAATGCTTCATTATTTATATCATCGAAACCTTTCGCTTTTCTTTTCTTTCATTTTTTAATAATATCCTTTACTTCTGCCAGGGATGCAAATTTAACAAAATCCGAATTTTGCCTACTTTTGATACTGTCAACTGCTTGATAAATCTGATTTTCATGTCTATATCTTCATCTGTATGCCTCTCATAGACGTTGCTGAGGTTTAAAGCTAAAATTTCTGTGATTTCTGCCTCGGAGTGACGAGTTTGCCCCCTGAAGTCAGATATCTTGTCTTTGTGATCCTCAGTGATCTCGCAATTTTCTATACTGCGTAGGTGCTTGGATCTATGTCTTCTAGTAACCTATTCCAGTTACTGGACCTGTATTCAATAATTTCCTGCTTTATCATCCTCTTGAGATAGTTAACAAAGCTTTTATCTCTCGGGTTCCTAGTCTGTTGCCATTGCTTCCTTTTTTGGTTTTGCTGCTTGATTAAATTAATAATATGCATAGGGAGCTTCTGATGATTATTTTCCGTGCTAGTAAAAGAAGCCTTTTTAATGACGCTTTGAATTTTTGAGTTCAGGTTGTGGACCACGTTTTCCAAGTCTGCACAGTGATTAATGGAGATTCTACAAGGTATGCTAGTAAGTTGGCTTCTGAAGAGCGTCCACTTGACCTTTTGCTGAATTTTCTGAAGCGGTGGGTAGCACTCATAAAAATCGAAGTTAATTGGCCTGTGATCAGACAAAAGTTCATCTTTAACTTCTAGTAAGGGAGTTGCACTGATATTATTTAGAATTAGGAGGTCCAAAATATCTCCACTTCCTGATGATACCTGGTGGAGATATCCGGCGTGATAATTCTTCTCCTGGAATTAAGTGCATAATTACACAGTATTCTTCCATTTCTGTTACCATGTCTACAGTTCCAGGAATAGTGCTTGGCATTAATATCTCCTGCGATCAACATCGGTAAATTGGAGTTTGTGAGAGCGTCCAAATCTTGAGCTCTGAGAGTTCTATCCGGGTGATTATAAACCGAAATAAATTTTAAAAAATGGTTCGTTAAAACCTGAATATATATATTATAGTGTTTTTTCCATTTTCCTGTGTCTGGGAGATTAAATCTTGCATGTTTCAGGTGTCTTTGTCTTTTGACTAAAATTGCTGTGCCCCCACCTCTGTTGTGTTGGCGGTTGTCACGAAGGAAGCTGTAGCTCTGAATATTTGTACGTTACTTGCCTTTATAGATGGGTCTCGTTTATCATCATAACATCGATGTTGTATGTATTCATATATGCGATGAGATCTTGCATTTGCTTTTGAACGCCGTTGGCGTTAAATTTTTTAGGAAGCTTGCAGTAGCTGACATAAGATTTCGAGAATAATTTGAGGGCCTAGAATTCATAATTGATATTTGAGAAGTGCTCGATAGCGACCATTTCGACCTCAAATTTTTCAAATATGGTCTTTACAGACTTAAATTTATTGAAGAAAAGTTTTACATGCATTAGTTGGGTCTTTAGCCACTTGAAAAACGAGGGAGCTTTTTGATTGGTTCCTGATGCACTCCATGAGGGTGAGGGGTTTGTGATCTCCTTTGAATTAGTACTTGGGAGTTTTGGAAATTCTTCTAAGTTAAGCTTAAATTTCGCTTTTTCCTTTGCCACTTTAGCGGCTATTTCTTCCTCTATTCTTTTTTTAATGTTAACAGGATTCCTTTCGCACCCACGGTAGGACGAAACGTGGTTATTTCCGCACAAAACGCAGATGGGGGGATTAACATCTTTCTTATTTTTACACAAGTAGGTTTCATGATTTTCCGCACACTTAAGGCATCTGAGCGTGTAATGGCACAGGTCCTGCGTATGCCCGTACCTTTGGCATTTATGGCATTGCACAGGGCCAGGCCTTGATTTATAATTCCTTGATTTATAATTAACTATTTGAACATCAAGCCCTCTCAGCTTCTTAATGTCAAAAATCTTTTTTCCTTCCAGATTTCTTTTTACTTCAGCTAGGAAAACTGGAAGTTTAATGATTTTGACATCCTTTTTTTTTTTGTAATTTGGCATTTTTTCTCAAGATATTTTGCGTAAGATTTGGGATCCCAAATCTTTTATTTCTTGTTTTATGATTTCAGTGTCACTATTTTTTGGAAGTTATTTGATAAGAGCCTTTATGGGTTTATCAGAGTTTATTGTGTGAAAGGGTATTTCATGCGATTTTAGGAGTTTAGTGATCTCTCTATAATGATCAACCTCAAAAACACGGAGGGTTAATCTTCCACCTTTTAGATTTCCATTATATTTCTTTATGTTTAAATCTTTCTCAAACTCCTCTTTTAGCTTATCTCAAATTCCAGTGAAATCGGCGAAAGCTATACAAGGTATGTGACCAGCTGTCTTTTTTGGAATTACAACAGCGTATCATCCTAATCCTCATCCATGTTTTCCTCTGCATTTAATTGTTCAAATTTATTTTTTTGAGACGGGTATTCAATCTCTGAATTAGATAAATTTAAGTTTATGCGTAATTCTAGGTGTAACAAAACCTTTGTTATTTACTGCCTGCTTTTTGCGAGTTTTCCCGCTTGAGCTTCTAGCTAGTGTTTTACCCTTATCGCTACTTTGAGTAATCATTATTTGAAGCCTTTTTCCTAGCCTCCGTCTCTTGATAAATCTTAATCATAGCTACACTCTCGCTGAGTTGCTTTAATCGTGCCTTCTAAGCTGGGGCAATTTGCCTTTAGAAGCGAATCGTGCTCCTCCATTAGTTTAAGATTAATACCTTCAAAGTCACTAGTTAGACCATAGCTCTCACGTAACTGCACTACAAATTTGCATACTAAATCATCGTCAACATTCATCATGAAACCCAACGCTGCTGCTACCTGGCTGCGCTGGCATGGCAATACATACTAGAGAGACAATAAATAAGTCTTACCAATAGTCCAGATGAAAGCTGCACTCTTCGCTAAGGATTGACCAGAACGCTAAAACATTCCACCTAGTCACTAAAATGAAGTTAACTATACTGCAAGTAACTTGCAAGTAACTATTTATCTGTTGACCGCCTACGGGATTGAGTTAACTCGAAACAAAGTAACAGAGCTTATCCAAAGTGCAACCTTCATGCTCACTGTTACAGCTCCAACAGTACAAGAGACTAAAGAAGGGATCACAGTTTTTACATAGAACAGAAAAGCATGGTATTACGTTACTTTCTACCAAACATTTGATAGAAGAGGAAAACCATTGGAACAAAGACAAAAAACGTTAAGTAACCCAAAAATGGTTATGGACTACAACGCAGAAAAAAAGTCTATGTCAGATCAAATGGCTGCGTACAATTAACTCAGAGTTGCACTCAAGCAAAATCTATGAGTCAGATTTGCATAATTGCACTAAACAATATACCCATTTAGCTAGATAACTCAACAACAATTATTAGCTAGATATGTAATAATGTATTTTACTGGTTCTTTTTAAAAACTCTCACTCATTAGCATCATACTTAATTTACAGAATAAAGTAAGGTAACAAAAATGTTTTAAATAAAAGTTAATATGTAACAATCGCAACAAGTACCTAAAGGATAAAATCCTCTGTAATTACAAAGGAGGACAAAATCAAGTGCTGAAGCTATGCACTCTAAACATAAGAATAAATTTCATATATTTCAACTTACACCTCTTTTACCACAAATGTATTCCATTAGCATCAAAATATTCTGCTTCTGACTTCGAAACTGATCTTGGTCACATCGTATTGCGATAGTTACCACACCATTCTTTACAGAAAATAAGTACATACTCAAGCCTAGTTCTGTCTCTATAAATTTGCTTTCTAATGCCAAAAAAGGGTTCAAAACGTGATTAAGACCGTCTGAAACAGGATTATCAAAAAAGATTTGTACTGGAATCAAGGCCTGGAAAAATAAAAAAGTACATATATAAATAAAATCAGTAACTAATATTCGTAAGTCCTAATACAACAGACATACACAGATACACATGCATAGAATTTATGACCAAAAAGAGTTAAATAGTATAGTTTTACTACAGTTTTTAGAAATAATTTTTAAAATGCACGAAAGAATAAATAAAGAATACAGTTTTAACATATTTTTTTTTAAAAAGTGAAAAAAAAAAAAAAAAAAAAAAAGAAGAAGAAGAAGAAGTACTTTTGTACACTAATTTTTATAGTGACACCCTGATTCTTGAAAAATATTCATAAAATTACTTTTTCCATTTATGTTCACATACTTTCAAAAATACAAATGTTTATTAATATAATGGCACTTTCAGTTTGAGGAAAACTGATTTAGCATACATATTGAAATATAATACTAATATAACCTACTGAAAACCATTGTAACGTTAATTACTTAATTTTAATTAAACGCAAATAGCACTCACTCGTAGTATAGTTCTTGCTCTTTCCACATTAGTTGGTTCTCCAGATATGGATACCTGCAATTAGTAGATTTTTTTTTAATACAAAAAGCATGAAGTAACTAACAGGGAAAGAGAGAAAATAAAATTTACTTTATTTAACAATGTACCTGATTACTTTTTTCCTTAGCAAGTGATTTATTTACATCAGGAAAATGTATATGACAGCCTGTGTTCTCCATCACTTTTTTGATCAAATTCCCACACTTCCCTATGAGTGATGGGTGCTCTAAATGTGTAACATCCATTTTCATCGTCACTCTATTACTCTAAAATGAACAAAAAGCACATTTTAAAATCAATTTTGCAAAAAAGATCTTTTTAAAACATTTTTATCCAGCTTTTAGTAGTTTAGAAAAAATGCTTTCTGCATATTATTTAAATTATACCATCTGTAATACAATTATTTAAAAATCATTCTATAAAAACTTCATCACTCTTGTATTAATATTACATATATGAATAGAGTATTGAGGCACTGAGTATGAATAGAGTACTGACTATGAATACACTGAGGCACATAAAACATCACAAATGTCTGTATACACGTAACTAAAGTTAAAACTGTAGTATTTTCTGCGTAACATAACATAAAATGTTTAAAAGAGATGATGCTCAGCTGAAAAAAATAAACTGAATGATTATCTATTAAACACTGTGTAAATCGCTCTCTCGCTAAATACACTGCTGAAAAAATACACTGAATGAATATCTATTTAACACTAAGTAAATCACTATCTCACTAAATGCACAGCTGAAAAAATAAACTGAATGAATATCTATTTAACACTGTGTAAATGGCTGGTAAGACACTGACAAGCTGGTGACAGTTTTGGCAACTAATTTTTGTCACCATGGTTTCAGTCCAGTATAATTTTAATTTGTATTGTGACTGAATAAATGTAATTATTCTATATATGTAACTGTAACCATATCCAACTCTCAAATGCCTTCCAGTAATTTTGAGATATGAAAGGTACTAGGTATTTTCTTGGCTGCCGGGAGAAAACTATATAAGACTGGATAGAGCATCAGTTTCTCAGCAGTTGTTTAGTTCAGCATTGAGTACAGAGTATAGAGATATTCACCTTAAGCTTCGCCTTTTAGATGTGCTCTGACTAGAGATGTATTATGCTATGTTTAGCATTCTGAGCAGTTTGAAGTGTAACTACTGATTGTACTCTGTGATACTTAGAGGAGGTGTACATGTATTTTTCCAAAAAGTTCCAGAATTGTGCCATGTTTTGGCTATACAAACCCATACACAAGCCACATTACATTCACAGACAGATGAACTGTTTTAGGAACTCTTATAAAGATTATAAAAAGGTCTATGCATAAAGAAATCTCCATATTTTGTACAACCTTGATTATCGATATGATTGGGTATTCCTTAAGCATTCGATATGATTAGGTATCCTTAAACTCCCATATAAACACAAATAATAAGTCTTCATTTCATTTTTTTGGACACGGACAGCTTTGGAACGTGTAGGTGGCATCCTGATACGCTCCGTGAGTATTTATTTTTATTTTTCCTTTTCGAACTTCTGCTGCAAATTTGATCACGATGTCGTTGGCAAAAGAACCTCCTGATAAAACTTGGATTGACAATAGCCCAATGGATACTAATATTACAGAAAATCATGGAATTCAAATTGACAGAAAACGATCGAGAAGAGCAAGCCATCACTAAGAATGCAGTCACAGCTTTTATTAAAACATATGGACCTGAGGGGAAAATAGAGATGGATAACCCGAAATTTAAAAAAATTTACAATGCAGAAATTGAAGATTATATTCAGTATAGACATTCTCGCAGATATAAAAAGCAAAAAACCGCTGATAAAAACCGAGAAAATAAAAACGAGAAACTTCAGAAAATCTTCCCTAACCTTATGAAAGGTATTGCCGAAAGTAGTAAAAAACCAGATAACTCAGAACAGTCAGAAAATTCTTCCGAATGGACAATCCCCAGGAAATATGCTAGAGCAAATGAAGATAACGATATAAGATCTGATATCACTAAAAATAACAGATTCAGTAACTTACAATCAGAAATATCAGTTGACAATCGTACAGATAACTTTACCTATGGTACAGGAAGCAAAATTCCACCCATTATAATCACAAAAGAAAAACTAAATTGGCTAGAACTTGATCACGATTTAAAATTAAATATGCAGTGAAGAATATGAATCACAACTTAAAAGGAAACTCAATTTTTATGTACCCTAAAAATGCAGAAGACTTCAGAAACATCACTGCAATGTTTGATAAACTCAAACGTAACTACCACACCTACTTATCTGATCACAAAAAAAACTACAAAGTTGTTATAAAAGGTATTCCAGAAATTATCTCCGCAGAAGCTATATTCGAAAATTTAACAGATAGAAAATTTCCAGTAAGAAAAATAAAGCAATTTACTAGAAGACATGGTGAAATTCTTGAAAAATTACCCCTATACTTTGGGGAACTTGATAACTCAGAAGAAGGAAATGCTATTTACAAACTCAGAAGAAGGAAATGCTATTTACAATGTTAACAATATATTTAGTTTTAATGTAAGAACTGAAAAATACAGAAATAATGGAAACTGCCCTACTTTAGATGATAGCGGTACGGGCATACTAAGCATATATGCCATCACCCAATACGCTGCTGTAAATGCGGACTTAATCACAGGACTAATGAGTGCAACTTAAAGAAAACTGACACACCAAAATGCGTTTTTTGCAATTTAAATCATGTAAGTTCGTTTACTGGATGTACGGAATATCTGAATAGACAGACTTGCTGAAATTAAAAGAAGAAACATCGCAAAAAATCACTTACAGAAATTACAAATTCTACGAAATACACTTACAAATTCTACGAAAACTCAAGCTCCTGTTAAAGATGAAGAAAACTTCCCGCTCCTGAATCTAACACAACCCACAGTTACTTACACCACTTAAAAAGTCAAGTTATAGTAACACCCTGAAGAATAAAATAGAAGAAAATAATATTAACGCCGCATTTCAAAATCTTCAGTCAACATCCTGAGATGCAGGAATCACAGGTCATTTACAAAATGTGATGTCACAAATAGTAAAATTTCTAAAAGTACCACAGAAAAACTTAAAATTGGCTTTCAGATCTTTCTTTATTTAATGCAAGTAGCATAAACTGAAGATTAAATTTCATTCCTACTACAGGAAGATCCCCTCCCTCTCTCCTTGCTCCATGCAAACTCCCTTTTCAAGCAGTTCCTCTCGGGGTCAGTTTCTCGGGGTCACGTGACTGGCCTCGGCGAATCTACTTCCACGTCACCTCGAAGATTTTCAGCTCAGACTGTTTGCCGTCATTCTCTCTACACCTGAAGAAAATGTTTATGTAAAAAACTTTCTCACTTTACATGCATATGCATCTGCTAAATTTCGCATTATATGGCGTGGCGTAACCGCCTTATTAAAACTATGTTTTCCAATGCCATATTCTCAACAGAGGCAGTCAAAGTAGTTTAAGTTTAAATAAAGAATGTTACATTTGAAGATTTAAGGTGAAAAAAAAAAATTTTTTTTTTCTTTTTGTTTTGCAAATACGTTTCCAATGGAGACTTCCGAGCAACAATTAAATGGCATTCCCAGCTGATCATGTGCCTTTTCATGTCCTCTGGGCGAGTTCATGGCAAGATGTGTTGAAGGTCATAATGCTTTAGCACTACAGTGTATTTTAGAGAAAATTAAATGATTCAGCACCAGACCAATCTGCACCATTAAAAACACCTTTTATCAATTACACTAACATTCCATATACTTTAATTTATGGCAGTCTAAAAATGTACACGTAAAATTATTACCTGCATCTCCATATTATTTAGCAACATTTCTTTAGCCTTTTTCACAGCTTCTGGTGTTCCACATATTTTTATGCTAGAATCTAAATAAAAAGAAAAACATCACTTTCTCTGTGTAAAGATACACTAGAGCATTCTAGAATTCTGATTAATTTACTGCTTTAAAATTTTTATAAGTCACATAAAACGACAATGCAGTACACACATAATTTAAAGGAGTTAAAAAAATATTACATAATTACTACTTTTAAACAACCAAAAAAATTGCTAGCATAGATTATACAGTCAAAAGTCTTTAATCCGGACTCGTCGGGACTTCGGCGATTCCGGATTTTTTATCATCAATTTAAATATGGTAAGATGGCATGCAGAAATTATAAAATTAAAAATATGAAACAGTAATTTATGAAACAAAGAGTATTAATTATGATCTAAAGAGTATCAAAATTTACAGAAAAAAAAAAAAAAGCTTAATATTTATTTGTTTACATTATTAAACATTTCTTTCAACGCGCGCATGCGTAAAGCACACTTTACGCAGAGTCGAAATTAGAAAATTGCAACCAGAAAACTATTTGATGTGTATTCGTGATATTTATAATGACGAGGAATTTGATTTAAATCATATCAAAGACTGAGTACATCGAGATGAAATACTACATTTAGTAAAGAATTATAAGCCGAATAAAATAAAAATATCTGCCTTGAGGCTTGTGCTGACAGATCAACTTCCAGTTCATTGCGCGCCGCGACGTCCCCCCCCCAGGCAAAGCAACGCGAAACTGATAAACAGATTTCGGAATGGTTAGAGAAACAAAGGATATGCCTTTATCCATTTTTTGCAGCAATTCCACTTTTTGTTTGATGGACATCAAAACATTCTTTCACTTTGTAAATCCTTTGGCAGCTTCAGAATCGGAAATTCTTTTTGACATCATCCAAAGTTCAAGCTTACTTTTATAACATTGCTCTAATAGTCTGCAAAAAATAATAAGCCGTATCCAATCCGAAGATTAAGGAACAACGCAATCTGCAACATTAAATGAAATACATAATTAGATCATTTTAGCTTAGCTTATACCGACCGTTATACATTAAACGTGCATGCGTAAACGTATTATGCGCATGCGTCAACGCCTATGCGCATGAGTTAACGTATTATGCGTTGACGCATGTGCAGAAAATTTGTAACTTTGAGGTCCGGATTAAAGACTTTTGACTGCATTACATACAAAATCTGAACCAGCATAAAAAAGATCTTTAAAACATTTCAGATATTGAGCCCTCAAAATTTTTAATGCTTGCTTAATAATGATACAGTTTGCCATGATAAAATTTTATTAAAACGTTATTTGTTCTAGAAGAAATATTTGAGCCAAATAAGAAGCATGTCTGAAAATTTTTAAAAACTTCCTACTTTTCGAAATATCGAAAAATCTTAATACTTTTTTGCAATTCCTTTCAGTTATTAAAGCCAGTCAACTTTGAAATCATTAGGCAGTCGACTTTCTGGACATGCACTTGAATGATGAAAGTGTTTAAAAAAACTATTACCCTTAAACAGCTAACAATAAATTTCACTCATACAGACCCGGCTAAGAAAATTTTTTTTCGCCTACCAACGGCCGAGTAGGTAAGACCCTGAAACGCTGGTAGTTCGACTTGGAAGGAAATCCAGACAAAAGTGTAGAATGGTTGCATGGAATTTCAATGCTCCTCACCCACGTAAATTAGCACCACAGGAAGAATTCCTATTTTAGGCAGATAATCCTCTAGTGCAGGGCTTCTTAACCAGAGATGGCAAATATTTTTAAGTATTAAATTCAAAAATTAAAACCGCAACCTCCTGATTGAGTTTTTTCTCTAAAACTCGTAAATTTATGCATTCTGAACTTTGTTCAAGGTAGCCACTTATAGACTTAGAAGTCACTTACAGACTTATTTTTATAGCAAGAGGTGAACGATCTGTCTGCATGACATTTTTCGTGGTTCTTCCAAGTTGTACGTTTCACAAATATTCTTTTAGCCTTAGACATAACAAAATTTGCCATAAATGATGCTTTTAAAAGAAGTGATAGAAATGGATGCTGTATTTAATAGGCAATAAAAAATAAGTTCCTATAGAAAAGGTAATAGCATCTCATTCTCTTAGAACTTATCGATTTATTAGCACGTCGGCACTTTATACGCCATTTCCGGGCTCGTATTGTTCCATTTTCAACGATAATCATTTTTTACGTCGGTTTTCTGTCTATAGCAGCAGATATTTAGTCTTCTTGTTGCTTTGTATTTGGCCCGGGCGCCAGTTTTGCTCACTACTCCACTTCCTTTTATTTTTAAAGAATTCGTAAAATATTGTGCATTTAAATATTTGTGAAAAAATAATAAAACAAAATTAGACTTTCAAAATCGAAAAATGGCTAGGTTGAACTAAGCGGAAAAGTGATGATTCACAGGTGATGGATCCAGGACCATCTACTAGCACTAGGAATACTGAAAAGAAAAATTGTTTCTAGAAAATAGTGAAAATAATGAAAGTTATTTATCATTTGGATTTACTTGGAATGGAGATGAAATAGACCCTCAATGTGCCGTTTGCAGTGAACTATTATCCAATCAAAGTATGAAACCATCGTTTCTTAAAAGACATCTTAAATCTAAGCATGTCAATTTAAAGAATAAATCTGAAGAATATTTTAAGGGGAAATTATGGGATTTAAAAATAGTACACAAGTAATGAAAGGTTTTGTTACTTCAAGTGAAAAAGCTTTTAAAGCTAGTAACCTGGTAGGCCTAAGAATTGCTAAGACTGGGCAGGAGAAATTGAAGAAAACCGTATATTATCAACAGCTAAAAATATCGTTTTAACATTATTCAACGAAAAAGCGGCTTAATGAACTTGATAATATTCCGTTATCAAAAGATACAGTAACAACAACATACTCTTATAACCGCTTCTGCTACTGAAAGCAACTGTGGTGTTTTGTAACGATTGCTGCCAGTAAGTGGGTTTGAATCCACGCTTCTAAAACACTCCGTTATCTCACTCCGGGAGGAGTGAGGCAGGAGGAGACAGGTGCTAACTACCAAAGTGGGCAAAAGCGTTAGGCTAAAACATGGCAGAGCAACGTCAGCTGAGCAAAAGGGCCTTAAAAAAAATAAAAGCCAAGTGGCTAAAAGAGGAAGGGGTGCCTTTCGGCTAAAAAGGGAAGAAGCAAAAAGCTAAAAACTGGAAGAAGGGAAGAGCCATTACGACTAATAAAAAAGAAGGGGAACAGGCGAAATGAAGCAAAACCTATCGACCATGGAGGTAGGAAAGGGTCTTACTTCCTACCTCCATGCTATCGACTAAAAGGGGCTGAGAGGGAAGGCTAAACGGCGAAAGGGAAAGAGAAAGCTTTGTAAACTTAAAAGAAAAAAGGGGGGAAGTCATGACATTTTTTACATAAAATGAACAATTAATTAAAGCAGAGTAAAATTAAAATAAACATATATACAAACAAAATAATAACCATAACAAATAATAATTATAACAAATAAATAATAACAAAATAATAAATAACAATAATAACAAAATAATAGAAAAATTCAAATAAACTTATAAACAGATATACAATTTGCTGCAGGTGTAAGTAGACACCATAGAGACTAAATAATTGAACATTACATTGAAGTAAATGGAAGGAAAAATAACAATCAGAATGACATAAACATTGTAGGATTAACGATAAACAATAAAGTCTCAGTCGTAGTTGCATAATTGACTTCATGGCATTAAGAGTAGAATTGCACTTTGCCAATGTTCCCAGTGAAGGCAATGGTGATGGAAAAAGAGATGTTCTTTCTTTTACTGTTATTGGACAAGACGTGATGTAATAGAGAGCTTCTGAAAACACACACACAGCCACATCTTGTGTTCTTTTTATGAAATCTTTGAATATATTGCGGAAATTTACCATGATTTGTCAATACTTGATTTAAAATGTGATCTGATTGTATACGAGAGAGAGAGAGAGAAATTTGTGGGAAAAAGGCATAAGTCGAACGTCCTGTAGAGTCCTCATCCCATCTTTGCTGCCTTGTTTTAAGCGATTCTTGCAGGATTTGATGTTTGGCCGAAATCTCTGAAAGTGGCACTTCAACATCTATCTGACCTTGTTGTGTTGCGTCGGAATCTGCTCCTTCGTTCTCTGCGATTCCAATGTGAGCTTTAATCCAATTAAACTCCACAGAATAAGAATCTAAAAGAGTTTTTATGATTTCTTTTAGGCTAAGAATGCTTCTTTTCGTAATTTTATCACTATTTAAACTTTGAATGGAACTACGACTATCTGTAAAAATACGAACAGGAATACTGTTAGTTATTTTGGAACCTATCCAAATGAGAGTTTTTTTTTAAAGCAAGAATCTCTGCTTGGAACACGGAAGCCGTATCATTTAATCTATAAATTTCTCAATGAACTTCGTGCCCATTGTTGTACAGTCACATATCTTTAATCCGGATGCCCATAATCCGGAATAATCTATAATCCGGACCTCAAAGCTACAAACTTTCTGCGCATGCGCATAATATTTTTTACGCATGCGCGTATGCGTGTACGCAAGCGCATAATACGTGTACGCATGCGCGTTTAATGTATAACGGACTGTATAAGCTAAGCTAAAATTATCTAATTATCAATTTCAGTTAATGTTGCAGATTGCGTTGTTCCTTAACCTTCTAATTGGATTCGGGTTATTTTTTTTTTTTGCAGACTGTTAGAGCAATTTTATAAAAGTAAGCTTGAACTTTCGATTATGTCAAAAAGAATTTCCGATTCTGGAACTACCAAAGCATCTACAAAGCGAAAGCATGTTTTGATGTCCATCAAACAAAAAGTGGAATTGCTGCAAAAAATGGATAAAGGCATATCCTTTCGTTCTCTAATCATTCTGAAATATGTTTATCAATTTCACGCTGCTTTACGGGGGGGACGACACGGCGCGCAATGAATTGGAAGTTGATCTGTCAGTACTATCCTTATCTTCAGGCCAGATATTTTATTTTATTCGGCTTATAATTCATTACTAAATGTAGTATTTC